GCCACTCTTCTCCTGAATGAGCTCACACACCTCAAAGTCCAGGGGACAGTGAGGAATGTCTGGGCCTGGAAAACCGGGAACCATGAGGAAGGGCTGGGCCCTGGAGCGGCTGCCTGGGGAGAGCAGGAACCAGCGCCCGTCGAGGCTCACCCGCGGAGTCCCTGCAAATTCCTCATTTTCAAAGGTCTCGTGGGGCTGACTCACCCCCCTTTTCTGCCATCATGTGGTCACACCCAGAGCCAGGACCCGGGCTGACCGCCCGCCATCGGGTGTAGGGGCAGCAGGGGAGGAAAGTCACAGGAGAGAAGGTTGTTTCCCTTTTCCTCTCCAGACTCAGGACTCGAGCCTTCCATGCCTTGCACCTTGTCTTGCCTGTAAAGAGTCCACTTTGGTGACACATGAGGACGAGAGGGTCAGGCCCCCTCACCAGAACCTTCTGCAGGTGCCTTCCTGACACCCAGGTTACAGATGAGGAAACCGAGGCACAGGGAGTCATGCAGCGGCCCAGGGTCTGACCAGGCTCTGCCTCTGCCACCCAGCCTGGTCTGTGTCTTTGCTTTATGGTTTGAAAACTTTTTATTAGGAGACAGTTTCACACCTGGGCAAACAGTGCTAGAATCACAGCTTAGGTGAGGACACCTGACACACTCCCCCCAGATTCACTGACGGTCTATTTTCCACCCCACCTGCTCCATCCTCTGCTCTGTCTTGTACAGGATTTTTCCGAACTACCTGAGGGTATTTACATCAGGGCCCTTCACCTCTGAGCCCCGCCGAGCGCACCCCCAGGGCTGGAGGGCATTCTCCCGCGACCCAGGCCGGGGGCGGTCCCTGAACCCAGCGCACCGACTACCTTCCAGGCGCGATCTCAGCGTCCTGGGCCGGTCGGTCCCCAGGACCCGGAAAAGGCCTCGACCCCCAACCCCGAGCGGCAGCCCCGCCCGCGGGCCCGGCCTACCTGGTCAGCGATGGCCTGGGTCCCGGCAGCGGCGGGCTGCGTGGCGGAGGGCGCGCCGCACATCATCCTGGCGGTGGGCGGCGGCGGAGCGGCGGACAGTGGGGCGGAAACCGAGCGCGAAGGGCGAGTGTCGACCGGCAGTGCGAACCGGCAGAGGCGACGAGTGCAGACCGGGACCCTCCCCCCCGGAAGGGGCGCGGCGTCACGTGACGCGCAGGCGGGTCCACGGCGACCGGCGCGGAGGGGGTGTCTCGTCGGTGTCGGGGTGGGCGCGAGGTCTGCGTCCCCGTCGGGATGGGCGCGGGGCGGGCGCACGGCCGCAGCCTGGGTGCTCCCCGCCTCCGCGGGCACTGCGGGCACCCCAGGGGCCCAAGGCTCTTGTGCTGCGGGGTCCCCCCATCCGGGGTTTGGTGTCGTCCTCCCTGGGGCGCCGAGTCACGAGGGCGCGGGGCGGGCGCGGCCCTGCAGAAACCTCGGGAGGTGGAGCTGGAGGTAAGAGTGTGGACCGCACCGGGAGGGCGAGGTGGGGGGTCGGGGGCCGGGCCTCGCGGGGCATGTGGAGAATACATGGTCCTCGCGGGCAGGACGCAGAATGGAGGTGGTGCTGTTCGCCCAGCCCCCACTGTCCTTCTCTGGTCTCCGTGTCCCCGCAGCCTGACCCAGTGCCCGGTGCGTGCGATGCACAGCGGTGTGCTCTGAAATGGCCGAGACATTTAGGGCCCGAAGACGAGTGGGAGGAGTGAGAGCTGGACCCGAGAAGTGCCGAGGGCACCGGGAAGAGAAGCCCGCGCCCAGACCGGACCCGGAGGAGCTGGGGGAGGGGCAGGGGGCTGCCAGGGCGTCCCGGAGTCCAGGGTCACGCCCTGCCCGCCTTGCTCCCTTCATCTGCAAGGCCTGGCCCAGCGCCCCGCTTCTACTGGCCTGTTGTGTGGGCTGCTGTGGACATCACGAGCGTGTGACCCGGGACACAGTGAAGGGCTGACGTGGTGGACAGAAGAGGCACAAAGGCGTCCAGTGGTGGGGAGGAGATGGCTCTCAGGACCTCAGGCTGGGGTGGGGGTGAGATCAAGGACATCAGTAAAGGACTTGGTTCTGGCAGGATTTGGTCTAGGATTTAGAATAGATTCAACCACCTGGGCAGGGAAGCGTCCCTGTGTTTCTGGGGGCAGGGTGGGGCCTGTGCCAGGAGCTGTCTGGACAGGACTGGCCTTTCAGAAAGATCCAGCCCCCACCACTGCCCAGGGCTGCACCTCAGTGGACCCCGGCCTCTCCCGTCCCTGGGTGCTGACTCTGCAGGAGCAGGCCCAGCCTCTTCTGCCCCTGGGCCCAGCACTGAGCCCCAGGGGGAGTGGCTGAGAGCAGGTGTGTGGGGCAGTACCTTTCCTCTACCTGTCGGGGCACAGCCTGGTCTGAAACTTCAGAGGAGGGTGAGAGGTCAGGTGGTGGTGGTTGAGCCCTGGGGAGTGGGGAAGGAGAGGCTATGTAGTTCATGAATGAATGAATGAATGAATGAAGGAGAGATAGATCTGATCACATAACGGAAAACTCCTCCATGTAGAAAACCAAGCCTCAGAAAATCACGCTCAGGAGGGAAAGGAAGGTGGTCCTGTTGCCTTTTCTCCTCCTGCAGCTCCTGGGGCTCAGCCCCCTGCTGTCCTGCCCAAGGTTTCCACCTGTCTTGAGATGCCTCCTGGTGTCTGACTCTGTCTCCCTGCTGGACCTGGGTCTGGGAGGGCTCACCTTACAAATAGGAGGGGACACCTGTGGGAGTCCAGGAAGGGTTGTTTGAGGTTTACAGAAGATGTGCATGATGGCCCAAGCACACAGTAGGCACTCTTTACATGTAGTGACTATTATTTATTTATCTTCTTTACACCTCTGTAGTGGGTTCAGTTGTGTCCCCTCAAAAGTCATGTCCACTTGGAACCTCAGAGTGTGACCCTAGGGGTCGGCCCCGTGGCTTAGCGGTTAAGTGCACGCGCTCTGCTGCTGGTGGCCTGGGTTCGGATCCCGGGTGAGCACCGACGCACCGCTTGTCCTGCCGTGCTGAGGCCGCGTCCCACATACAGCAACTGGAAGGATGTGCAGCTATGACATACAACTATCTACTGGGGCTTTGGGGAAAAAATAAATTAAATTAAAAAAAAAAAAAAAGAATGTGGCCCTAATTTGGAAATAGGGTCTTTGCAGATGTAATTAGTTAAGATGAGGTTCATAGTGAATTAGGGTGGGCCCTAAGTCCAATGACTGGTGTCCTTATGAGAAAACGAGGGCACAGAGAGGCAGGAAGAACAGCACGTGAAGACAGAGCTACACAGGGGAGGAGGCCATGTGAGGATGGAGGCAGAGGCTGGAGCGATGCTGCCAGAAGCCTAGGAACACCAGGGGGCCCTGGAAGCTGGAAGAGGCAGGAAGGACCCTCCCCCAGAACCTTCAGAGGGAGGGTGGCCCTGCTGACCTCTGGACTTCAGACTTCCGGCCTCTAGACCTGTGAGATGATGAATGTCTCCTGTTCTAAGCCCCCCAGGTTGTGGAGCCCCAGGAAACTGGCACACCTTCTCTGCAGCTCACACACACACCTCCTGGCTCAGATGCAGAATTATGCCTCTAAGATGTCACACCCACACCCTTGGACCCACCTGTTTTCATCAAGTTGAGTCTAGAGTTGAAACACCAAGACTTAGGGAAATACACAGGATCCATGGACACAGATGTATCTACATTCTAGAAAACAAAACACAAACAGGACAACCTTAGGTTGAGAAGAGGATCCACGTGATAGTGTGTAGAAATGAGAGATGCTGGTCTTGATTATTTGTGGGATAAATGAGCACCCTTCTGTTGCTGATTTGTGCCTAGTGAGCTATTCAGTGGTGTTCCTACACACTGTCACCTCCTAGTTGCTGTCCTGGGTGCAGAGCGTGTAAGACAGACAAACCCCTGCCCTCGTGGGGTGAGTGCTCCCAGGGAGTGGGGGGTGATGTGTATAAAGTTGGAAAGTACGTCCATTCCCAAATTCCCATCAGAATTTCTTTTTCTGCTTTTCTAACTTTTAAAACTTTTTATATTGACACAATTTTAGGTTCCAAAAATAGTATAGAGTCTCTGTAAACTCTTCACCCAGTTTCCCCAGTGTCAACCTCGTACATAAGGATGGGCGTAGCATAGTTATCAAGGGCAGGAAGTGAGCATTGCGATGCACTACAATGAGCTAATCTACGGAATGGACTCAGTTTTTCCATTGTCCCACTAAAGTCCTCTTCTGGTCCAGGCTCCCTCCACTTTCATTCCCTGACCATGTCTCCTTAAGGCAGCTCCAATCTGGGACAGCCTTTCAGTCTTTGTCTTTCATGGCCTTGATGCTCTTAAAGAGTGTCAAACCCTTATTTTGAGGAATGACCCTCAGTTTGGGCTTGTCTGGTGTTTCCTCGGGATCAGGTTGAGGTTTTGCATTTTGGGCAGGAATTCCACCAAAGTGATGCCGTGTCCTTTCAGTGCATCATATCGAGGGCACTTGATGCCCACTTGTCTAATGTGGTGATGTGGATGCTGAGTAGAGTGTCGTCTGCCAGGTTTCTCCATGGTGAAGCTTTCCCCTTGTAACAAATAAATACATTTGAGACTGCAAATATCATATTTCTCATCATACTTTTGCCGCTAATTTTCGTATGCATTGATGCTTCTTGCTTCCCATGCACAGCAGACTTTGAATAGTTTCCTAAAGAGGGATAATTTTGATTTAGAACAAAGCACATTTAATTTTTAGTCACAGTGAGTATTCTACAAATCTTTCATTAGCTATCAGCATCTAACAGCTGTGGGTACTATAAAGTATTATTTAAAGTATATTTTGGTGCATTTCATTCAGTTATTTTGGTGAAATTTCATGTCAGAAATTCACTATATGTCTATTAAAAATGCTCTTAGGCCTGGTTGTCTTCTTTCCTTGCTCTCGGCTTTTTCACAACAGGGACACTGTCCTCTCTGTAGCGTGGATCTGTTATTTTATTGCTCAGCATCACCACTCAAACCTGAGCTTATGAGGTGGGACCTTGTCGTTTTTTTTGGTGTGGAAGATTGGCCTGAAGCTACCATCCGTTGCCAATCTTCCTCTGTTTTATTAGGAAGATTAGCCTTGAGCTAACATCTGTGCCCATCTTCCTCTATTTTGAATATGGGACGCCACCACAGCATGCCTTGATGAGCAGCGTGTAGGTCCACGCCCGGGATCCGAACCTGCGAACCCCCGGGGCACCAAAGTGGAGCGCACGAACTTAACCACTACACCACTGGGCCGGCCCTGTGGGACCTTGTCTTGTTCAGAGCTTCAGTGTTGCCTAGAGCGGAGCCTGGCGTATAGATGGGACTTAAATAGTTGGTGAAAGAACTAATCTGATTCCAAAACCAGTTTCTACACTATTTCCCAACTTTTTGTCATGAACATTTCCAAACATAGAAAAAGTTGGAAGAATAGGGCAATGAACCCCAGTATTCCTGCCCTCAGATTCAACTATTGTTAACATTTTGCCATATTTGCTTATGAGCTACGTGTGTGTGATTATTTGTCTATTTGACATCATGACACCTCTCCCCCACCATGTACTTCACGGTCATTTCTTAAAGTGAGGACATTCTTCTGCATCAGGTGTTGGTAAACTGTAGTCCATGGGCCGAATCCGGCCCATGATCTGTTGTTGAAAATAAAGTTTTATTGGAACACAGCCACGCCCATTCATTTACATGTTGCCCAAAGCTGCTTTTGTACTATATAGCAGTTGTTTGGCCCACAAAGCTGAGAATATTTAGTATCTTACCCGTGCAGAAAAGAGTGAACATAAGCGCTGACTGCGTCCTTGGAAAGTCCTGCTCACAAGGTTGGCCCTTGGCTGGTGTCTGGGAACGTGGATTTCGGGAGGATTCCCATCACCCTAACTGTGATAAGAGTGCCTCACTAGGCCTAAGCCGTTTGTACAAACACTGTGGCTGACCCCTGCTGTCCCTCTGGGAGTCTGGATTTTGCTGCCCACGTGACCAGCCCCCAATAAAAACCCTGGGTGCTGATCTCAGACAAGCTCCCTGGTAGATGGCTTCTCACACGTGTTG